GTTGAATGTTTGTCTGTGATTTGTGCATATCGAGATCCTCGTGGGTTCCATCAGTTTTGTAAATGTTGAGCAGAATTGAAATAATCAATTTTTCTTCAAAAAAGTAGGTACTATTCGAGCAAAATCAGGTACAACGCAGAATAAGATGTGGTACCATATTTCCCAAAACTGGTACTATTATAAAAAACGCAATTTCTTTAATCCTTCATGTCTACCATGACACGTGGATCGTTCACACGTGATTTGGATGAAAAAAAGTGGAGTTGAAAACATATAGATAGAATTTGAAGTAGTCATGTATGATGATTTATATGAGATGAAGTGTGTCATTAAATGAAATAAAGTCTATTAGTAGTGTTTTCTCATTAGTGTATCGAGTTCATGACCAATTTGCGATTAAACTCAATCAAAAACATTTAAAATCTTATATAAACTAATGCCAGAGTAATTATGAGTCGTATAAACATCATTTGCGACCGAAGTTCGGTCTTCTTATGTGTTCATTACAAGTGGTACTATGGACAGGATATCTGGTACTAACTCTCCATAATGTGGTACTGCCTCAAACTATGACTGGTACTACGTTTTGTAAATGTTGAGCAGAATTGAAATAATTAATTTTTCTTAAAAAAAGTAGGTACTATTCGATCGAAATCAGGTACCACGCAGAATAGGATGCGGTACCATATTTTCCAAAACTGGTACTATTATAAAAAAACGCGATTTCTTTAATCCTTCATGTCTACCATGACACGTGGATCGTTCACACGTGATTTGAATGAAAAAGTTGAAATTGAAAACATATAGATAGAATTTGAAGTAGTCATGTATGATGATTTCTATGAGATGAAGTGTGTCATTCAATGAAATGAAGTTTATTAGTAGTGTTTTCTCATTGGTGTATCGAGTTCATGGCCAATTTACGATTAAACTCAATCAAAAACATTTAAAATCTTATATAAACTAATGCCATAGTGATTATGAGTCGTATAAACATCATTTGCGACCGAAGTTCGGTCTTCTTATGTGTTCGTTACAAGTAGTACTATGAACAAGATATCTGGTACTAACTCTCCATAATATGGTACTGCCTCACACTATGACTGGTACTACGTTTTGTAAATGTTGAGCAGAATTGAAATAATCAATTTTTCTTCAAAAAAGTAGGTACTATTCGATCGAAATCAGGTACCACGCAGAATAAGATGCGGTACCAAATCTCCCAAAACTGGTACTATTATAAAAAACGTGATTTCTTTATTCCTTCATGTCTACCATGACATTGGATCGTTCATACGTGATTTGGATGAAAAAAAGTAGATTTGGAAACATATAGATATAATTTGAAGTAGTCATGTATGATGATTTCTATGAGATGAAGTGTGTCATTCAATGAAATGAAGTCTAGTAGTAGTGTTTTCTCATTACTGTATCGAGTTCATAACCAATTTGCGATTAAACTCAATCATAAACATTTAAAATCTTATATAAACTAATACCAGAGTGATTATGAGTCGTATAAACATCATTTGCGACCGAAGTTCGGTCTTCTTATGTGTTCATTACAAGTGGTACTGTGGACAGGAAATCTGGTACTAACTCTCCATAATGTTGTACTTCCTCACACTACGACTGGTACTACGTTTTGTAAATGTTGAGCATAATTGACATAATCAATTTTTCTTCAAAAAAGTAGGTACTCTTCGATCGAAATTAGGTACCACGCAGAATAAAATGCGGTACCATATTTCCCAAAACTTGTA